TCTGTCTCTCTTTTTCCAGAAAGTGCACATGCTCTATGGCAAAAACTTAAAAAAAAAAAAAAAAGAAAAACAGAAAAATACGTTATGACTTTTCTGACAACTCAATGCTATATGATTAACCAGCATGGGAATACCAGTATTCCAAAATGTGTTTTTCCAGTTGAGACTTCCCTTCTGGAATTTCAGTTGCCTATTTCCAACTGACTATGTGATAGATCCTACAACTTGGACTGAAGTGAATTCAAACTCAAGACATTTGAAACTAAGTTAATTGTATTCTCTTCTCATAAAACATCTGAGGGTGTTCCTACATTTTCTGTCTTGGTTAATGAGGCCATCATATGCCTTTCCAGAAACCTATAAGTTATTTTCAGTATTTTTTTCTGCCTATGCAATTAATCATCAGGTTCTGTTAATTCTTCTCAATGAAGATTTTCCATGTGTTTTTCGTCCTCTTCATTCCACATACCATGGTTAACATAGCCTATACCAGTTCCATCTTCTCTACTGCTATCAAAGCTGTCTTTCTAAAACATAGGTACACACAACTTAATACACTTTGTCGCATAAAACATGAGTTCTAGACTCCATAACTGAGCAAACAAGATCCTTTCCATGAGGACAATTAGTCTCCTGTATGTTACTACAGTATTTTGTGCATAACTCTATTATTATGGGCCTTAGAATAATGTCTATGATGGACCCAATACATAATTTATGAAACAGGTTATAAATTCTTTGACAAGAGACATATATTTAAAAAGTTTGTTTTTTTGTATTTCTAGTGGTAAACATGGAATAGAATTACTTTTAAATAAAATGGAGAAATGGATGAATTGAGTAAGAAATTCTGCCTGTAATATGACTAAGATTAAAAGATCAAAGTATAAGAAATAGATGGGGTGATATGAAAATAGTGAAAATTGAGAGGTCACCAGGTTATAGATGTTCATTAACTGGAACGTTGGACAGCAAGTCACTCCAGAACATGCCCTGCACTTTCTCACAGGCTGCCTCTATGGTGTTTTAGAAATAGGTCTGCAAATTCTTGATACTGCTTATTTCAAAAGATGGCGCCCAATTTCCCTCCCTTGAATGTAAATCAGGCTTAGTGACTTCTGTCTAACAAATAGACTGTGATGGAAGAGATGCTATGTGACTTCCAAGACTAGGTTCTTTAATAGAGAGCATCTATCTGGCTTCTCTTTTTCTCTTTTTGATTCGTTATGCTGGGAAAGCTAGTCGCCATGATGTCAGGACACTCAAGTGTTCTATAGAAAGACATTCACCTCAAATTTTTGCCAACTTTTCAGCAATGAGAACCATCTGGAAGGAGGATGTTCTTGTCAGTCAAACCTTCAAATGACTGCAGTCCCAACCAGGATCTTGACTGACACCTTGTGTGAGTTGCCAATTTAAAGCAGTCCAGCAAGTTTATACCTGAATACCAGGCCCACGGACACTGGAAAGATAGTATATGTTTATTTTAACTTTCTAACTTCTGAACTAATTTGTTATACAGCAATACATAACTAATACATCCTTTCCTAAGAATGTCTCTTCTTTTTTAGAATCTCATGTATTCTTTCAGGTTAATTCAGAGATTTTGATTTTCCTAGATTGTTCTCAGCTTCCTTTAATCAAAACTATGTCCTTCATATAGTTCTACCCTTTTTAAAAAAAGCTTAGCATCTTTTATTATTATTATTTTTAACAAAAATGTTTCTGTTACTCATTGTATACTATTTTCTATGCTGGGAAGTGGAGACTCAAAAGATGAGTGATTTAGAACTTTTAGAAAATGTTTTTTTGTCACCAAATGCACACTATTTCCTTTGAGAAAATACTTCTGATTATTCTTCATCTTTAGGTTGTTTTTGAGCTTAAAAATGTAGGCGCTAGGGTAAAACTGTCTGGATGAGTCTGAGCGTTGCCTACTTACGGTCCTGGCTTACTGTCTGCTGTCTTTAGACAAAGTTACCTCTCAAGGCTTATGTATCTTTCCTTTCCTTTTCCTTTCTCTCTTTCTTTCTCTCTTTCTTTCTCTCTTTCTTTCTCTCTTTCTTTCTCTCTTTCTTTCTTTCTTTCTTTCTTTCTTTCTTTCTTTCCTCCTTCTTTCCTTCCCTTCCCTTCCCTTCCTTCCTTCCTTCCTTCCTTCCTTACCTCCCTCCCGTCCTTCCTTCTTTTGTTCCTTCCTTCTCTCTCTCTCTTTCCCCTTTCCTCCCCTCTCCTTTCCTCTCTGTTCCCTCCCTCCCGTCCTTCCTTCCTTCCTTACCTCCCTCCCATCCTTCCTTCTTTTCTTCCTTCCTTCTCTCTCTCTCTCCTCTCCTCTCCTCTCCTTTCCTTTTCTTTCCTTCCTTCCTCTACCAGAGGGCATGTGTGTGTGCCTGCAGGGGTGGGGATAAAGAAAGTGAGAAAGCACCCTTCTAGGGAGGATGGCCGGAAAGTGAGAAAGCACCCTTCCAGGGAGGATGGCCACGTAAAGTCCCTTCTCCCCCACTTCTCCAACCTGTCATAATTTGGGGTATGGATGTACATATACCTAATGTGTTTTTCAAGCCATTGGGTCTGGGACTTGAATTGTGTATTCTGTCACGTTGGATTCAGCCACCTTAACCACCCTGTCACAGGTTGGCCCTGGTTTACATTTCCATGTCTGGAAAATGAACATGAACATAACAGTAATTCCTATCTCTTGTTATTATGAGGATTAAATGGGATCATGCATCTGGAGTACTTAGCATGGTACTTGGCACTAAGTAAATGCTCAATGAATACTTAGTAGTATTGCTGTTTATTGTTTCCTTTAGTGTCTAGCATAGAGACTGAAATACAGTGAGTATTTAGGAAAGGTTTGTTGAGTTGAAGTGTAAAATGAACAGGTTAGTGGTGATGATGTTGGAAAAATAGGAAGTCAGAAAAGAGTATCAGATATGGGCATTAGTCATTGTTTAATCATCTTTGAGTACAATCAGTTAAGTTAATTATTAAGTGATTAATTAATTTGTCAAACATTTATTTAGTTCCTATGTCTCTAGTTATGCTATTAACAGTGAATGAAAGGCATTTAGAAGGGTGAGTGCTTGGATATTGGAGAAACATTCCTAAACTTAAGGACTTCCATAGAAAATGTAAAGTCTCTTGTGCCAGTCCCATACCCTAGTGGTTAAAGAAGATGAATGGTTGGCCATGGATTTGAATCCTGAGCCTGATAGCTTGAAAAAAACACTGAACACCTATGTATACAAAATCTTGACAGGATGGTGAAACAGAGAAGAAGGGATTGTGGCATAACCATGCCACATTAGGGGGTACTCTCTCCTTTTCTCTGGTAAATGCACATGCCATTTGGTAATGAGCCTGATAGCTTGAAAAAAACACTGAACGCCTATGTATACAAATTCTTGACAGGATGGTGAAACAGAGAAGAAGAGATTGTGGCATAACCATGCCACATTAGGGGGTACTCTCTCCTTTTCTCTGGCTTTCTCTGGTAAATGCGCGTGCCGTTTGGTAATTGGAAAATAAAAAGATGCAGAAGTCCATAAAGTCTTTATTGTCATAGTAACAAATGTTATAAATGTTTACTGAGCAACTATGATATGCTAGGCACCTTACAGGAACAAGTGATAAAATGAATTCTTATTAATTGAATAAATATTTTCTGAGCACCTTCTATGTACAAGTTATTCTTCTATCCTTAGGACACAAATAAGAATTTCAGTTCCTAGGGATCCTCCATTCTCAGAAGGGAAAATTGTCAATAAATGGTATTTGTCATATGTAGTTAAATTATTTATCATTTAAGATGACAGAGCTATGAAAATAAAAGGAGAAAGTAGAACAAGAGAAAGAGACTTGGGAATGCCAGGAGCAGTGTATGTGGGAGCTTTTCTGTTTGGTATATTTCTCATTGAAAAGGTGGGATATCGGCAGAAACTAGAAGATGGGGGAATTCATCTCAGTGATGAGCCAGACTGAGCTCCTGTTTTGCCATCTAGTAAGATAGACAGATGTAACATAAGAATTAAGCAATCTTATTTCAAATAGTAATGAATGTCAGTAAAAATAAGAGAAAACAAGCAGCATGAAAAATTCATAGTCCTAGTCCTGGACATTAGTACTATTTCATGAGAGGAGCTGCACTACCAGTCAGTCATGGCCATCTGGTTGACCAGTGTCTCTATTGCAAACACACACCTGCTAGGAGGTAGTCACAACCCACATGTCTACAAAAAGGACAGCAAGATGGTTTTATGTTGTCGCAGATATCATATTCTAACTGATGTGTTGACAGAAAAACATTTGTAATCTATCAGTTGTACTTTTGATCCCATAAATGCACAATGATGGATTGTTCTAACTCACATAGACTCCAGACTCTATGAAGTACTCGCAAAGAAATTGTGTGATGCTTTTACCACTGCCTGGACAGGGGAATAATGTCATATCACTAGAAAAATCCCACTATCACCATTTGCTTACCATAAAAAAACTTCTTATAGGTCTGGATTTGATTTTTAAATGAAGATGACACTTTCAATTTTCTAACATTAATATATTTTTTAAATATTTATTTATTACCATCAACTTTTAAATTTTGACCAGAGAGAGAGAGAGAGCTGCTAGGTCTGAACTTTAACTGCGGCCTGCCAGTGGGAGGCCTGCACCTTTTATCAACAAACCACCTGCCGGCACCAAGATTTTTATTTTTAATTGATTTATTTCTTACATGAATGAAAGAGAGAGTGAGCATTGTAACCCTCCCCTAGTTCTGCAGCCAGGAATACCTGTGCACCCACTGGAACCCAGCAGGTTCAGGAAAACCTGGGGATGTGAACCTGGAACCTTCCCATATGGCCCCAGCAGCATGTATACTGATAGTACTACCCTGGCTGGGCCTAACCTGTATTTTAATTTCATTACTAATAGATAAAGTGTGTCTATGGCTCATATTTAACAGGGAGTGACATAGGTTGTAAAATTTTTGTCTTATTCAGTTCAATTGAAGGCAGGAGTTCAAGTTCAACTCTCAGAAGGAGGTAAGTGGGGAATATTCAAAGGCCTTGGGAGGAAGAAAAATCAAAATGATTAGGCCTAAAAGAGTATGTGTGTGTGTGTATGTGAGAGAGAGAGACAGAGACAGAAAAGGAGAGGGAGGGAGTGAGGGAGATAGAGGCTGGGAAGCTGACCCAATTCTTGTTCTCTCCCTAATAGGGGTAGACCTAGAGGAAACAGTCTTTAATGAAAACCAAAATGATTTAAGATAAGAAAGCTAAGTTTCCTTACTGGGTTCTATAGGCTGAAGTTTTTTCTATGAGATCTTCAGAGATGATACCTGTCTGGTCTAGTTCGTTTTAACTTTAGTACACATTTACCCACAGTGCACAGTTCTGTTCACCACTTTCAATGCTCCCAGCTGGTAAACTGAGAACACATACTATGTCTGAAAGCTGCCTTAGGCTGAAGAAATCTGATCTTAGTGTTGGGTATTGAATTTCTAGTTAGAATGTGCATTTGTTCTTTATGCCACATGTTTTGGTCTTTTGGGACATTTACATGGACTGTGTTCAGTGAAGTTCTGTCTAGAGACAGGAGCATGGTCAGGGGACGACCCTGACTTTACTATATTCCCCACATTCCTGTCTAGAGACAGGAGCATGGTCAGGGGACGTCCCTGACTTTACTATATTCCCCACATTCTATGGGAAACACTATTTATTCATTCTTTTAAGATTATTTTATTTGAAGTTCAGATTAACTGTTTTTTTATACAACTGATAACTGATATTTTTGCATATGAGCTTTAATATTCTTTACTTAAAAATAATACACATGTGGGGCCAGCAAATGGCATAGTTTATGTCACTGGACTCCCACATGGCCAACCATGGTTTGAGTCCCGGACCCAGTGACTTGAAACGCTATACGTGCGTGCATGAGTGCCCAAGATCCCAGGAGAATAGCGGAGGAGAAGGGATTGTGGCAAGACCATCACCCCACTGAGGGATTATTTTTCGGTTTCCCTATCAGGAGAAGGGATTGTGGCATGACCATCACCCCACTGAGGGATTGTTTCTTGCTTTCCCTATCACTGTCTCTTTCTTTCTCCTCACATGATTTTCAAGTTATTTATGATGAGAATATATCATCTATATAATCAAAAGAGAAAAATAAAACTGTAATAAAGCTTTCAAGAGAAAATACTACCAGTCACATTGTGAGATTATTATGATCTCTTAGAGAGACAAAATGACTTGCTCAGGATTCAAACCCGAACCTCACCAGAGCCACACGACTGCTACCCTATTAGTAATCTGGGGAAAAAAAAAACAAACCCAAGACTAAACTAAACTAAAAGAGCCAAAGATGCAGCACCAGCACCTGGAGAACTAACAATCTAATTGGAGAAAAAAGTCACAGAAAACTGAGACATGAAATGCTGAAGCCAATGGCAGAGATAAGGAATGCCTTTGGGATTCTGCAGTGAGGGCAGGAGGGCTGTCTTGGCCAAGGGGACTTGAGAATGGCAACCTTAAACAGCTTGGTGGAAAGGGGAAGAAGGCATAGCATAAACAAGACCCCAGGGGCAGGAGTATACCAGGCAAGTGTGACAGAATAATTTGTCGAGATATTAATTTGTGTTTTGTAATCTCTTTTCTCCAGAGCTTTAGTTGCAGAGTTGAAAGCAGAAGTTATTTGAAGACAACAGACATTGCTGGTTTTTGTTTTGAAAAGCCTCAGCCTATTGGGCGAATTATAGGGAGGGGAGAAGGAAATGACTAGTGCCTTAGAATGGGATGCAGGATGATTGGAACAGGTGAGAAGCCATTTCCCCAGAACTACCAGTGGACTGCAGCTTAGGTTTGTGAGGGCAGCTGGGTCTGTCTCCTGTACCCTTGCAGTGCCTCAGGGAGGTTATAAGGCTGTGATGAGGGAACATATCATGGTACTTCTTGGGCAGTTAGACCTTGGGATCCATTCAGCCTTTGTAAAGCTCTGGTGCTAAGTGGGAGATTCTCATCTAGGTGCAGGAAACAGAATTTCCAAGTGCTAAAGAGAACTGATGAATGTCCATGTGACACCTGTGAGACTATCTTTTCTTGACCAAGACAGTGACCTCCTGAGGCCTCTCAGCTTCTCCAGCTACCAGATAAATGAGTATGATGCCTTCCAATTCTAAAATTCATTCAATCTATGAGGTTGGGAGTGTATGTACTACATGATATCATTTTATTTCTCCCTGAAATGCAGTAAGGATGGCATGGAGACTCAGTTTTAAAACAGCAACCATGAGAATCTGCACATATGCATAATGCTTTCAGCAGAAAAAAAGAAGTAGGAGTACACTGCGTGGTAATTGAACCTGCCTTTTGAATCTTCTCAGCCAGCAGGGTCTGATACCAGATCGGATGAGCATTGTTTCTTCCTTCCTGTAAAATCAGCTAAAACGGGAAGACTCAAGTGCAAATTTTCATCACAACTTGAGAAACCTTCCCCTCAACTCATCCACCCCCACTCTCTCTTCACCTGTGCCCTTTATTTGTATAGATTCTTGCTTTCAACCAAAGTAGCTCAGTTCCACAGAGAGACAAATCATGTACAAAGAGAAAAGAAAATCGCTTCCTAGACCTGAATATTTAGTGATGAACTAAACCTTTTGAAAGCGGAAAAATATGATTCTGTTGCAAAGGGGAAATAAATGTTCTCCAAATCAACGTGAAAATGGAGAAACCAGGGAAGTAAGGTTTGCATTTGTCCTTAATGTGGCTTTGGAAGGACGGAGACAAGAGATGGTAAATGATATATCCGACATGGTGCTCTGCTTAGAAATTGCAATTCTAACTGTCATACGTCATGAACTTCTCTCTCTCCCCCCATAATTCAAGACAATTCACAAGAGATGACTTCTTTTCTCTGCCGTGATAATATTCTCTAGCTTGTATTCTAAATAAGCAACACTGGTTACTACTTTAAGCAGGACCTTCTCCATTTCCCCACAGCCCTGAAATCAACAATCTCTTTCTCTGTCTGATCTGAATCCCAAGCCTATAACCCTATATTTTGTTGCTAGGTACACTTTCCGTTCTGAGTCCATGTTTCTTATCTCTATAGTTATTAAGGAGTAGGTCTGCATTGCCCTGTTTATATTGTAGTTTTTCATCATTCTAAATAAAAATGGGATACTTTATATCTTCCTTTTTTTCCGAATCACCTTCTTAATCTTTATCATGATCTACCTTTCCCCCCTCCAATCAGTGGCTTTTCTGAGTGTTGATTCTTTTTCTCTTTATTAATCTTTGTGGACTCCAACCCAGTCATCTCCTTGCTGAAATGAGAAACGTGGTATTCACATCATTCAACAAGGTGGGTTTTGGAACTCAGCAAAGATGAAAAACATAGGAAAACCTGTGAGCAACCTAGAGGGAACAGAAAGGTTGTTGTTAATGTGTTCTTTCATTGAACAGAGCTCATCCACACCTTGGAAATGAAGAGAAAAATGATTGTTCAAAGACACTGAGAAAAGTTCTCTCCAGGACATTTTATTCAAAGATTTTATAGTAAATGAATAGCCCAAAGTAAAATGTGACATCACTGTAAATGATCACACTAACACTCTCATTAATGTTGGCTGCTTGACTAAGAGTAGCAAGGGGAAGAAATTGTCTTCTAGGGCTGGCTTAGGGAAAAAGAAAATGCTTTGGGGAGAAAAATATAAATATCTACACTTTATGAAGCTGACACTGCTTGCTATTTGCAAAAATATTCAGACCTGTGCATCCTTCTGGGTCTTCAGAATTCTTTTCCTTGTATAAATCAGCTACAGTGCAATGTCCCAAGAACCAAGAAATGAGGTTACCCTTTGAAGATTAAGTATCCAAAAATCAGCAAAGAACCAATGAATTGAGCTGTCTTCAGACATGGCCTAGGACCTGAGATTCTATACTGGGGTGATTGAATGAACATGGGAGTGGACATAGATAGTGGTAAACTGAAACTGTGTGTTTAGGATTTATCTTCAGCATCAGAATTGCAGAAATTGAAAGAGTAGGGTTATTATGATTAAAATAATAGCTACTTTAAGAGTAATCACACAGGTATTGTGCTAAGTATTTGTATACATTCTTGATAGGCCCCTCAACAGTTCATGAATTAGAGATCCTTGTCACTATTTTATAGATTAGCACATTATAGTTCAGAAAAGGTGAGTGACATTTGTAAGGTCACATAGTTCATGAGTGATAGATCAGGGATTCAGATCCCCATCTGTTGGATTTTAAAACCTTTACTGTGGCCAGGTGGTGAAAGTGATAATGTACAACATTCTGTGGGCTGACACACAGAGGATGGTTCTAGGTATGAGTTTGGAGACATCCTTGCATATGCGAACATATGTGCTCATGATCTAGGACTGGCTGATGCTAGGGCTGGATCTTGGTGTTAAGATCCCATTGGGAGTACTGTCTGTCTTTTAATCTCAGTCTGTCTTACTCATGCTTGTGGAACAAATGTATTAACTTTACTAAACAAACAAACAAAGAACAACAACTCTACTGAGGGACCTCCTGGGAAATGACATGATGGTTACATTGCTTGATTCTCACCTAGTTGATTGCAGTTTGAGTCCTAGGCACAGCAGCTTAAAACTCACACTGGGCATATGTGAGTGTATGCCCAAAATGGCATAGCCATCCCATCTAGGGCGGTGGTGATTTCTTGCTTTCTGTCTCTCTGTCAAGCACATGTGCCCTATAGCGAAAACTCTTAAAAAAATAAAGAAAAGAAAATAAGAAAGTGTTCTATGTAGACTTTGGTGGAAAAGGAGCAAGACTTCAGCTCTGTGCACTAGAAGGATATATTATTTTGGAAGATATGAGTATTAAGTGGGCAGATCAATTAGGAGATGGACTCTATCATGGGAGAAATAGTCTATCTGGCTTTGATACACCTATATAAATACCACACTGGACTTTCTGATTCCCTATGATCTCATGTTCATCAAGTCTTGGTCAATGACTCGTCTGGTTTCCTACACACCTGA